AACAAAGGCACCAACTCGTGGTAGCAAAGGATTTGTAAAGAAGCACAGTGGAAAATAAAAGGGGTGATGTAGGGTAAGGGTGGCTTTTGGAGGTTCTTCACAGCCAGACTTACAGTTGATGTATGAGACAGAAGGGAGCCATGACGCTGGATAAATGTCATCTTTTAATTAAACTAATCTGGCCACATTGCAGAGATGAGACGAGAAGAAGAGACTGGCACCATTAAATGTATTGAGTTGATTTATGTCTGCAGTGGTGCCTGGGCCCTAGCTCTGGTGGTCCATAATCCTGGTGGGAATTGAGAGGGCCCTATTCAATTAAAAAAGGGAACAGCCACAAGAGTGAGGAGAATTTAAATGCTGGAAATTATTTCACAAAGTGCTGTTTTGTTCCTCAGCCAGGCCCTTCCCTAGTAAATCATCTCGAATGTCTGTTGTCCTTGTGTTCCTAAGCTGCTTATCATTTCTTTATCCCTTATAAACCACGAGCTCCCATAACCCCTCCCCATCTATACTTCACTATTTTTCCTTTTAATCTGAAACTGCAAATGTGCTCAGCAGGCTCTCTCTGATTGTTAATTGGAATGTCCACTGGTGAAGCTTGCTCGGTGGCGTTGTAATTACTTCCCTGTATCTCTTTAATTTTTTTTCCCCTTGCTCACATCTGAAACTGAAAATATCTGCTCAACCCCTTGATCTCAGCAATTAGTTAAGTGCTATGCAGCTGGTTATCTGGGGGCGGGCTCAGACTCTTAATCATCTCCCTTCGGGTCTAAATGGGGATCTTCTTGAGTAGTGACACCTGTAATTAGTGGGAAGTTTTGAGAAAATACTTTGGGAACTGTGGTTCTCAAAGTGGGGTCCACACATAAACAGCATTGGCATCATTTATCCTTAGACCCCCATCCCAGACCTACTAAATCAGAAACTCTGATGGGGGGCAGGGCACAAATTTTAACAAGTCCCCCCAAGTGCATGGCAGAGCTTGAGAACCACTTGTCCTGGAGAAATAGCTTCTCAGGGTTGAGTAACCAGACTCAGCAGGTAGAAGAGCAGGCCTTAGGAGCAGGAGGGAGGACAGTGTAGAGAGTTGAGAAAGGCCAGCCACACTGCCTTCCTGGAGATGATACAAGTGTCCAAGGAACTATTGTTAGCCGTGAAATTTTGTACTTGGCCTTTTCAGCCCTTTGAAAGAAAACCTGTTAGCCCTTGCTTGCTTTGTGCTTTGGAAAAATGAGTTCTGAAGTCAATTTTCTTGAAGATCTGTCTGTTGGATCTTCCTGCTCAAAGATCTGCACTGGGGATTGTACAATTAATTAGATGAAGAGACAGAGATTCATTGGGTGAGTCTCATTTTCTTCTGTGGAGACTTTTACATGCAGAGGGTAGACTTACTTGATGGCCAAAAGGAAATGGGAGCTTGGGTTTCAGCCTGTATCTTATACTGTGCACATGTCCCATTTGAAGCAGCTCTTCAATAAGATTCTTTTGACCAAGCCCCAGAGTCTTGGTCAAAATACTAAATTTGCTTTAGGTTTTAGTGTCATACACAGAGAGCTTTAAAAACTAGGTACTCAGGCCATGCTTCCACCCAGCTTCATCAGAATCTCTGAGTTGGGGTGGGGTGACTTGGACTAGTATTTTTTTATGTTCTCCTGTTGCCTCTGAAGCCTAGAAGTGAGTAACCCATCAGCTACCAAGTCTGGTGGGTCCTTTCATTATCAAATCATTGGTTAATCAAGGATGAGTTAGGGTGACCTTGTTTTCTACTACCAGAGTCAGAACTAGTATCTTTCTTTCTGTTCTAAAAACTCCACTTTTTTTTCCTATTGGCAACATATGCCCACCTAAAGCCTTTTCTGGTGTAGGTATGCATCATCACAATGTCAATATGAATTTAACTGTGTGACCCAGGGTCACTTTCTTTTGTAGTTTTAAGTAACAACACGATTTCTTTGCTAGTTCTTGAAATTTCTGTGTATCTAGCAAGGAAACTCTCTTTACAAAAGGAGGAAGAGGAGATTGCATTTCATTCTCCTTCTGCAATGAATATTAATTATGATGATAAAGTCTCTTGGGGAGAAAAATAAATCCCGGCTGGCCACCCTTTGGTTGTTAGATGATGTATTCTCTTAAAAGATCATGAACTTCTCCATGGGTTGTTTCCATTTGGAATAAATGAAATAATGGAGTTTTGGAGTCTCCATTCTGTGGTCCCCGATTGTGTGATTTCATAACTATAGGCACTTGGAAGATTTATCTCAGAGGGGACCCTGATGAACAGTTCTGTTGCCACTTAAAAAACCAGGCAGGCTACTTCTCCTGGGGCTCTCAAGGCAAGCAGGAAATAACTAAAAAGGGATATAAAATATACTCCCTGATCACTGTGGTCCTACTGGGTCCCAGGACCTGTCTCTGTTTGGTCTGAGAGTTCCCACAGCTTGCTATCCCCTGTTCATCTGTCAGGGCGTGTTCATGTTACCTGGTTTCAGCCAGAGGAATTGGCTCATAGGAGCTGCAAAATTTACTTCTTTCATTGTTTCAGCTCAAAGTCTAGGACCTGTAGAATAATCATGAGATGATGATGAAATCAGTACTAATTTTTTTGAAAGAAGGACTAGAGTGAAGTTCAGTTATGGCTTTTAGATTGTTTTCTGCAAATCAGGGGTGTTGTTGAGGTATGTTTTCCAATATGGTATCCTCTAGCTTTAAATCTTTTCTTTATTGCTTTTGGGTAAGAGCAATATTATAGAAGGAAACAATGGAAATGACCAGGAAGGCCAGGAGCAACAGAAAGCAGTTGCTGCAGCCTGATTGCTCATGCTTTTTCTGAATATTTCTGTTTATGTTCAACCAAAATACCCTCAATGATACTGAGCTGTCATGTCTCCACCCACTATTCCACTCCCCACCACAGCCTATCAAATATTTTTCCAACCAGATGTACTTCAAAGATACCATCAAATTAACCACAGAGGCATGGAATGAATAGGAGCTAGGGAACTCACGAGACTCCCCCAAGATGCCACCAAGAATTATTGTGAGGGCAACAGTGGTGCCATAATAGTGAGTTATCCATGATATACTTGTGAATGAAAGCTTTTTCTTTGTTCCCTTGACTGTGGGGACATCATTTTGGATGAATACAAATTTCTGATGCATGAACCAAGTCCCTGCTAGCACAGAAGAAAACATCAGTGCAATATTTGGTACAGATTTCCCTATACCTGCTCACTTGCTTCTCACACACACACACACACACCCCACACACACCATTTATTCTTCACTAGCACATCCTGCCAGTAGCTTCCAAAGCACAGACATGCTCTGTTCTGTCAACCCTTGGAATCTGTAGTGGATTTTTGGTCAACTTTATGTATTTCTTATCATTGCAACTATGATGGCTAGGAAGTCTAACACCTGTTCACCTTGTGGGTTTTGTTCTTGAAACAAAACAAAATACCACTAATAGCCCAAGAATTGCAGAATTGTCCCTTATTAACTCTAGGCCTGGCAGTTGTCAATTCCTTTGTGAAGGAACTGTTCAGTGTTGTTTTTGTTCAGTCCGCTTAGTTTGTAAATGCACATGTAGGTGACTCTTGATGCTTGTCTGGAAGTTGTACCACATATTTGTGGTTTGGGAGATGGCAAAGGGCATGTTTGACTTGTAACCAAGATGAGGAATGGAGGAATCCAGTGCATGTCACATGATTGGTGATTCCCATAGACTGTCATCCCAGGGATCTAAGGGGGTCCGCATTCCAACTGCACAGACTCCTGCCTGTTAAACAGCCAAGCATCGTCCTCACAGAAGTACAACTATACTAACTGGTATTGCGTACAAGGATTTCCAAGGTGCTGATCCTTGGAAATCCTTCATCTTCTCAAGCTAGCTCTCTTCTGGAGCAAGAGGTCCATGTGGCTTCCCCTCTGGGGAAATTATTTTTTTTCACCTATACTCCTTCTCCCTTCCCGCACCTTACCCTCTTTGTGTTCTGGCCTGGGTGTTCCCATTTGCTTAGTGATAACAGCAGACTATGAATTTTCATTCACAGCTTTAAGACGTTTCTGAGGCTTTCCTGCTTCCCACCCAGCCCAGACCTTGGGGCTGTTTTCACACTGGGAAAGCACACAGAAGCCATGTACCAGTTTGTATAGTCGTACCCTTTTGAAATGCCTACTCTTGAGCCAAGTAGAGTGTGCTGGGGTGCGCATTGGCTGCTTGACACACACACACAAAGCCAATTAACCTGCATGCCAAAAATAAAAAAATAAATAAATAAATGAAAATTAACCCTTAGAGTACTGCTTCAATGATGGGGTTTAATGTTCTTGACTTTTTCCCGGTTGGGCAGTGCTTCCTTCCCCAGATCAGAGTGCTGCACAGAAAGTCTATACTTGGTCTCACTGGAAAGTTAACCAGGATCTTCTCCACCACAGCTTTACTTGAGATGCTCCTGGGTTCTTTATCTATTAATTCACTAGGCATCTCCAAGATCCAAAACACAGCCACCATGTTTAATAATGATAAAAAAAAGGTCTCTATTTCCATTGTGTTGGAGGGTGTGAGGGTCTGATTTTTAGCCTTCATATCTGTCCTCTAAAATAAGGAAGTCAGTTCTTTAAGGGTTAATATAAAATCAAGGAATTTGGTGGTCACTCCTGCTTGTCCTTCCTCCAAGATGTCTGCATGATCTCCTCTTTAGATACGTAGTTCAACTGTTGAATGATGATAAAAAATAAATAAATAAACATGTAGATATAAATTTACCAAAAAAAAAAAAATCCCCCAAAGCAAATAAAAATGATACACTGACTGGTTGAATGGAAACCCCTTGGCAATGCTTGCTTGATGATCACGAGGGGTAGAAAGACCAAATGTTTTATTTAATGAACCTTCATTTTGTCCTCTACCCCTTTCACTACCACTTCTCAGGGTTGTGGGAAATGTGATGATGTTTTTCATTTACTTCTTGCTTTTTCTTCTTCCTGTTTAATAGCCCAATAGAATCCTGCCAGAATTTCTACAAAGATTTCACATTGCAGATCGACATGGCTTTCAACGTGTTCTTCCTTCTCTACTTTGGCTTGCGGGTAAGTTTAACAACATCCCTCCTTGGCATCTACTCTCACAGGGAAGGGGAAGCCCAGGGTTTCCATTATAGATAACATATGTGCATTCTGATTTTCAGGTTGTGAGAGAGCCCTTTCCTTAGCTAAGCATTTTCTGGAAAACATGTTAATTTTGTTTCAAGGGGATAATGGAGATTGAAATGACAATGGCATCTCCACTGACTCATTGGTTTCTCATTCCTCTGTTCTCTCAAAAATTAAATAGAAAAAAAAAACAACCTTTGGCTCTTAGAATGATATCTAGCATGCTACTGCTGATGAAGGGTTCTATACAAATCTGAATTAAAGAAATGTGTGAGTGTGTGCATGCACATGGTCTTTACAATTATATTTATAATAGAGAGTCTAATGAAGGTGAGATTATTCAACCTTCTCTATGAAGCTGTTGGAAACCATACATAAACATATTGTTTGATCTTTCTCCAAGGCTAGCACAGTGCACTGTCACTCTCTAGAAGAGACAGTGTATCTGACAAAATTGTACATGATTGGTGTAGGACGTAAGAGAAGACTATAACTTCTCCCTTCAGAAACCCACAAATTTGCCCGTTAGTCAAAGAATACAGATTGAATGCCAGCACTGTGCTTCTTATTTTTTCTCTCTCTCTTATTTCTTCTTTCCCCCACCAGTTTATTGCAGCCAATGATAAGCTGTGGTTCTGGCTGGAAGTGAACTCTGTGGTAGATTTCTTCACGGTCCCTCCTGTGTTTGTGTCTGTGTACTTAAACAGAAGCTGGCTGGGTAAGTCAATCTCTTCTGCCATCTCTTTACTGGTTCCTGAATTGTGACAGAAACAGAGAATCCAGGGTGGATCAGAGGGCTGAACTGTCCCTATACAAAGAAAGTTCTGTGTATCCATGTGGACCGTTCTCTTGGAGTGTTAACATTGATAGTGACAGTTCTTTTGGGGTGCTAGCTCAGAAGGATTTGCCCAGGTAGTGCTCCAGGTGATGCAGTTTTATCATTGTTGAAGCCCCGGGTCATCACTGTCACAGCTAGGACTTCTGCTCTCTTGGTTTTGTCACTTGTCATTCAGGAACTTGGAGTCAGGGACTGTTGGGAATAAGACCAACTTTCCAAGTGACTGGTTCAGGTGCCCCAGAAAGGCCTGCCTCTCAGAGTTAGCTTCTGTCTACTTACTTTTATGAGCAGTGGGTCTTTCATGATCTATTTATACTTTACAAGTTCCTTCGGTAGACAGGACACTACAGGAGACTGATTTCCCTTCCTGTGCAGGGGAGAGTTTTTGCTAGTGTTGTGCTCAGTAGGTCACTTCCTGTATCTGCTCAGGTCTTGTATCAGGACTAAAACAATTTAGTTGGGAAAAGTCACTTGTTCAGAGGATGACCATGACTTACAGTAACAAGTTCAAGATTGTCTTAATGCATTGTTTAATTTCTGCTCTCCTCGGGTCTACTGCCATGGGGTGTATTAGGGAAGAAGGAAGGCTAAAACAAGAGATGGAGGACTATTGGGGATTTCCTTCTGTTCTTACTTTTAGCATTTTTTTGGCTTAATTTTTTCTCAAAGTAACAGGTTTGTGCTGTAATTGGTGAAAACATTAAAAGATACACAAAGAAAATATCAATCATCTTTTTCCTTTCTTTCATCTCCCTGAGTTGCCCAGTGTTAACAGGCCTTCCCATCTTTCTTCCATGCTCATTCTACCACCAACATAGATGTGCATATTTAACAGTGCTGTAGAGGTGTAGTGTTTGTGTAAGAAATTGTATTGAATCATCATTTTGTAGTGCAATTTGTCTTTTCTTACTAATACATGATGGACATCCCTTCATCTCTGTAATAATTCATCTTATAAAAGGTTATAGCAGCCGGGCACGGTGGCACATGCCTGTAATCCCAGTGACTCGGGAGGCTGAGGCAGGAGGATTGTGAATTCGAAGCCAGCCTCTGCAAAATTGAGGCGCTAAGTAATTCAGAGAGACCTTGTTTCTAAATAAAGTACGAAATAGGGCTGGGGATGGGGCTCAGTGGTTGAGTGCTGCTGAGTTCAATCCCCAGTACCTCCCCCCACAAAAAAAAAAAAAAAGAGTTCATAGTACAAGTAATTCATTTTATAAAATTTGTAAATTTTTTAAAATTCCATTATTTGTTTGTCACCATATATACAGCCATAACCCCAATGATGAATTTCCTGGATATATACTTTTTCTTTTTTTTCTGCAAGCAAGGTTTTAGTAAATACCTTTATTCATATATTCACATATTTGTAAAATGCTCTTTCTATAGAAACTTCTACATTCCTGGAAGAGGAACTGCTGAGTCAAAAAATATGTGTATTTTATCTTGTAGATATTGATGGATAGCATTCTAAAAATGTTATGTCAAGTTGTACTTCCACTAGCAATATATTTTGATTTTCTTGCTAGCACTGTGAATTTATTATATACCTACTGTCAAGTATTTTAAAAATGAGCATCTTTAGTGTATGTTCATCACATACACAACATGCACATATGTGTGTACATATATGTGTGTGTCCATATCCTTACATGGATCCCATTTTCTACTTGTTTTCTCATTAGAATCATATTCACTTGCTCAGGGGAAAAGTTATGGTGTGAGAGGTGCTTGCTTCAGTGGTTTTTCTAGCTAGTGTGATGATCCAAGAAGTATCCTGAGTGTATCCTCTGTGTGCCTGTGAGCCAAGGGACCCAAAGGCCTCCCCTTGACAGTTATCTGGCTTTTTAACCTGGGGAGCTGAATTATTATTTTTTTCACTCAGCCTGTTTTTTTCAGCCTGTTTAAAAAAAAACAAAACTGGCTTGATGATCTCAAGGTTCTTACAGCTCAGAAAGTCTTTAAGACTCTTGAATCATTAATGAGAAGTTTGCATTCTAGGTTACTGGGGAGAAGTGGCAACTTAGTGAGATTAACTGAATCCAAATTGTGGATGAGCTTTTAACTTTTATTTATTTATTTATTTGTGTGTGTGTGTGAGTTCAAACACTTACCCATTGCCATACTCACTCGCACACACACATACACACACACACCCCTACACCTCCCTAAATCCCCCAAATGAACAGAAAATCAAAGGAAAATTTATTATATACTATTGTCACGTTTTTAAAAAATGAGTATCTTTAGTGTGTATGTGTTAATTTCATGCACACTGTGCATGTATGTGTATGTATGGATCTGCTTTCTTTTCCTTCTGGGCTCTAACTACACTGTGCACTTGAACAACCACTTGACTTTTCTGGAATCTTAGTTTTCCCATCTTAAAAATGTGGATTTTAAACTAACACCTTCCATTCTTCTCACCTTGTAAATTTGAATTTTACGGTGTGTATCCACCCATACTTGTTCCCCTGTGCTCTGATGGTCATGCAAGTCCCTTCATGACTGGGGTGGCAATGTCCTCTACAGCAGACAGATTCTGCCCCAGGTAAAGGTGTGCAAGCCAGTTTCCTTGATGCGAGTGAAGTGTTCCTTAAAGCAGGTTGGTGTCAGTATTCCCTGAATGCTTTTGAGCCCACAGCCTTGGGTGGGTGGCTCAACCTTGATTTTTGGAGGTGTTTTCCAATCTGGTGAAAGATCTACTAGAGCAATCAGGAAAGGGGGAAGAAGAAAAGGAAATAGATCAGGTTTAACTGCATTTCTGACAAGACACCTCCTTGCATCTATTGTGGTTACTCTTCAAATGAAAGATGCTCTGAAATGCGTTTCATTGTGTTCATTTGTTGACCAGTATTTGTTGAGTACCTACTGTGTGCCATACGGTGTTCTGTATAATGGAGAAACAACAGTGAAGATAATAGACCAAGAGTCCCACATTCCTACACTACAGTGGGGGGAACAGGAAACCATGGACCTAATCCATAATTAAATGATGTGTTAGGAAGTATCAGTGCTATTGAAACCAAAAACAGACCCGTGACCTTCTGGGCCATGAAATAATAACAACAGCAGTAACAACAGCAATAAAAATAAAAATAAATCTCTCTCCTTTGTAAAAGAAAATAAACACTTCTTTGGTTCTTTGGTAACTGATCTTCTTGGGTGAGATCCCAAATGGATCTGCATCTTCTGGAAGGTAATTCAGTATAATCATATTTCAAGCTTCCTCTTTCTGACTTAATACAGGGGTTTATTATTCTGTGAAACAATTATTGTACCAAAGAGTTGCTGGAGGAAAAAAAAAATGAGCATTCCCAGGAAGTGTGCTCACAAAGGGAAGAGACCATCCCACAAAATGGGAGCATTCTGGGTTTCAGGAAGCATTGCTCTCCTGGAAGACAGAAGGGTGCTACTTTTGCTGACTGAGGTTTGAGATGAGATATAAGAAATAGAAATCTATCCCAGTCTACAAGAATTTTTGAGGGTAGAGATTGGGACTGAGCTGGCACCATAGGGAAGAAAAGCCAGAGTGAAAGCCAAAGCTCTGTCCCTTACCTTCCCCAGGGCACAGTCCATACCACATTTGTCCTCTTCTTATTAATTTTGGATAGCATGTTTTATAGTGCAGTACATGGGTACTTTGTTGCATGTGTTATTTTAACGACACTGATATGTATTCAAATGCTTCTACTCTGTGCTGGGCACTTGGCTAAGCCCCTCGACCACCTCAGCCCAATCTTCAGAGCAGGCCTATAGAGTAGGAGTTACCGCCTTTGTTTGGAGATGAAGTAACTGAGGCTCAGCAAGGTCACCTCTCTTTTCCAAAGGTCACACAGCCTTGGGGGGGTGGAAAGAGTGATTCATCCCCCATTTGGACACTCAATGTGCATACTCTTATTTTTCTCTTCTGCCTTGGTCCTTACCCTTCAAAGATTTGGGGTTTAGGGGACAGAGTTGGGAATGATGGAGCTGATTCTCTTGCTTTTTGTTGGCATCCCCCACCCCCCTCTAGGGCTTCATGTGAGGCAGGAAGGGAGGGAGAGATCTTCAAGAAGGAGCATTCTGGTGTCTTCTCTTTCCACTCCTCCTTGCCCACCTTCGGTGTTTAGGAGCACTACAAGGACCAGGGAACACATACAGCTACTGTAGTGTCCCCAAGTCTCAGTGTGCTTTACCACCCTGAGAACCTGTCCTGCTCCAGCTGGGAGAGAGAACAGGGGCTTCCACACATCCCAGATTCATAGAAAGGAAGGATCAGAGCCACGTTTGGGGCTGGACCAACACAATTCACATCTGGCCTCAGTCACCTACCAATGGTCACTTTGAGAAAGGTCTTTTTGTGTACTCAGGCTCAGTTTTCTCAGTCTTACCCTCTGTAAAATGGGGATAATCCCAGCAGCCACCTCAGTAGGTCACCATCAAGACATAATGAGGCACAGAAAGCAGGACACCGTGTCTACGGCGTGAGCTTAGTGAGAAGCCATGAGTATCTCTGGCCTCTCTCTCTAAACTGCCTGTCATATTTTAAATACCAGAAGAGAAAATAAACCAGAATAGAACCCAAAACAAGGGAGCGGGACGTGGGGGCACCACGTGGGCAGGCGGCAAGTGGCTGCTTGCTTTACTTCCTGTCCCCACATACCCACTTACTCATCTTCGTCTCTCCCCACAAAATCCTCATCCTTCCCCACTAAAATAAATGCACCTTGAAACAAGAGACACATCTTATTTTGAGACTCGAATAATGTGCTCTAGGGAGAATTCATTTGTCTGTCTTGTTTTATTAGGAGCCGTTTCCCCAAAGAGGGCAAGGGACTTGCTTCCTTTATATGTTTTTGTAGAGGATCACCTTATGTCATTAGAGGTATAAGTAGGGA